CACCCAAATCCCATGCAAGTTCCACCTCGAAGGCGCGAAGATGGCGATGGCGGGTGCTGGTGGCTTAGCTCTTGGAGCTGGGGCGGTCTTCGCGGCCGAACACGCAGGCCACTTGGGGGCTAGGCCTAGGCATGACTGGTTAAGGAGTCTACGACTTGAAGAAGTCGAAAGAAAGCGAAGGCACGAAGGATGCATTCCGATTGCTGCGCGTCTTTTCTGCCCCGAGGCGACATTGCTCAGTTTGCAGAGGGTGCCTTCGATGATGTCGGGCGCTTCGCGGGAGACGCCGCGCATGGCGTTGAAGAGTTCGTGGAGGATATCTTTTGAGGACGCACCGTCCCCACAGGAATCTAGCCTCAGAAGTAGGAAGCATCGACAGAACGCCATGGATATCGCTAGTTGCTATGGCGGTGCCCAGATAGGAGCTGTACAGACCTCCTTTCTGCTGCTCCGAGCCTCAGTGGGCAAGTTCTTTTGTACAGTCCGCCCAGTCGCCATCGGATCGTGGTGACTTTTGATGCGGTGTGGAAACATCGAATCGCGTACAGGCGCTCTCCTACATAGTTGCCCATACTACCTTGGGGGCTTCTTATAATTACTGTAAGTATAGTATGATTAGATTAGTATGATCTACCCCCAAAGACCCTGGTCAAATTATGAAGGCCCCTACATTACCGAGGGGGCTCTGTCTGTCGGCCCTGTAAACCAAGGCTCTGAACCCCGTGGCCTCGAATACGAAACTCCAACCCAGTCCTCTGCTTTGGGATTCTTCGTAGGGTTTAGGGGTTTAGGGTTTCGGGGTTTCGGGGTTTAGGGGTTTAGGGGTCTAGGGGTTTAGGGCTTTTGGGGTTTAGGGTTTAGGCCAACAATGAGACTGTAGGATTTTTGCGGCTTCAGGAGGCTAGTCACTCAGAAGCTTCCGGCTCTCAGCGATCAAGCTCGTGCCCGCTGCTCCCCCGACTGACGCCATGGGCTGCCTTATGGGAACCTTGGCATATCTTCTCTACGGGGTTTAGGGGTTTAGGGTTTAGGGTTCTTCTCTGAGGCTTGGCTTCTCCAGGGCTTCAAGATTGGGCCGAGCCTGCCCGATAGCTCCCGTAGTGTGAGGAAAGGAGGAGATGGCTGGCCAGCCGATGCCATATGCCGCGAACTACAACTACCCCAACCAGGGGCATCGCGGCAAAACTGAGCTTCAATGTTTCGCCTTTGGGCGTTTAGGGGAATCAGCCTCATCAACCTTTCCCAGTTTCAACATGCTCTCTGCTTGCCTTGATGACGGTCGTTGGATGTGGTGCCAGTACCCCCTCTAATTTCATCTGGGGAATCTTTGGCTTAGGGTTCCGGGTTTCGGTTTAGGGCTTAGGTGCTGGAAGGTGTTGGACAGGACCAGCGGGAGGCCTGAAGGTCCCAGGTCTGCCTGGCAAAATTCCTCACTTAGGGTTTAGGGTTTAGGGTTTAGGGTTTTTCGCGACGTGACTGGCTTCGTGAGTGCACCCGCGGGGTCGTGCCATCAGATTGCAGTTGTGGCTTCATTCATGCACTTGAATGTGACGCACGCTGGTGCTGGGTCTGGCGGTGGTGCTGGTGCTGGTGCTTTTTTGGTGTGTTTTCTGTTGTTCGTTCGTTCGTTCGTTGGTTTGTCCATACAGCTAGGATTCGATCGCCCATCAACATTCATTTGTTCAACAATGATGGAAAGTATCGACGGCCTTGTTTCCGTATGCGAGCGCACTGTACTTGTGACGTGCCTCTTGAAGCATATGACTTCGCTGAGGGTTTGAGAACTTTCCAAGCTGCTTTGACTTGGTTCCGCAAGGGAGGTGTAGCACTGCTGCCGTGTGGTGTGGTGTTGAACGCACGATCCCTGTACATCATCGGGTACAGCCGCCCCACCAAAGGAGTTTCGCATCGTGTAAAGCATTGTTGCCCAGTGGATCCCAGGGTCACACTGCAAGAGATCTTCATGCAAGGCCAAGCCAGCCATTGGAGGTTTGACTTTCATGCCAACCTTGAAAATTGAGCACTTGTCTCACTACTGTTGATGATATAAATCCTGCATTACCTTAACGACCCGAAACTATGGGAATTATGGTACATTGCTGATTCTGGGTAGTGCAGGATTTATATCAGCAGCCGTATTAGCAGGCATCTGCACAAAGCGTCAAAGTCAAAATGTCATAATGTTTGTTTATTTGTTTGTTGCTTAGTTGCTGCTGCTGCTGCTGCTGCTGCTGCTGTGGTGTTTTGTTGATGTTGTTCTGCTTGTGTGTGGCATGTCCGAGTCACGAGTTCTCGTTCTTTGTTTTGCTCATTGTTGTCACTGGTCTCACTGCTCCCCATGGTCTTATTCTGTTCTCCTTGGTCGCAATGCTGTTGTTCTTGGCCCGTTGTCCATGCTCAGAGTTTATTATCCCAAGAGAATACGTGCCCTAAACCCTAAACCTTAAACCCCTAAACCCTAAACCCTAAACCCCTAAACCCTAAACCCCTAAATTATTGGTATTCGACAACCTCAATCCGAAACTCTGGGGTTTCGTATGTTCTTTTTCCGGTAGCTTTTCAACGCGCTCACCCAGAGGGGCTCGTGCTCGCTGACAGACTCGTTAACGACGGCTGTGCGGAATCTCGTATTCGACTGAACATGATAGTGAAGCTGCTGACATCGATTGCTTCCTTCGTTGATGCTTTCGTGTGTCAACATCTGCTTCGAGATATCTGCTTCTAGTTGTGTGTAGGATTGTGGGGCACCCGGGATTCGCATGCAGTTTTTGATCCCGAGGTACTGTGGCTATCAGCAAGTCTATGAGCAGCAGTATAGACCGGGACAGGTCTGCCAGTCTAACAGATACGAGAATGCTCCGGGACAGCCCTTCTGCCAGGATCGCTTCGGCTGCATGTCTGCTTTGCTTGGACACATCGTTTCGGCAGAACCCTAAACCATCTCCCAAAAGGCCCGCGCCAATTTTTTTGCTTCAAGAGTTACTTGCAAGTTGCACTTTTTGGCAGGATCGCTTCAGCTACAACCAACCGTCGCCGAGATTCTACGCCAACTGCCGCCCCCCCACGGTCCCGGAGCCTGTGCAGTGCCGACCTGTGGCGGGATATGCTGATCCTTATGCCCAGCCTGGATGCTTGGGCAGCCGCTATGCAGGGTGTGCCGTTTCCTTAAGTAGTAAGTAACGTTGTGCGTATTGCTGCATATTGGATGTCTTCACAGACTCTTGTAGCATTCTGAGCCATCAAGGATACACCCAGCCTGGCTACAGCCAGATGGGCTATGGCGCACCCACCTACGGTCAAGATGTGCTGAATCAGCAGAGTCAAGGAATGAGCTCCGGCGGCTTGACTGTCTCACGCAGGGAGGACTCCGCTAATTAAGCACCCCAAATGCCAAATCCCATACAAGTTCTACCTCGAAGGCGCGAAGATGGTTCGAGCTGGGGCTGTCTTCGCGGCCCACCACGCAGGCCACTTGGGAGCTAGGCCTTACCTGCAGTTAGTTACGGAGTCTACGACTTGAAGGTGTCGAAAGAAAGCGAAGGCACAAAGGATGCATTCCGATTGCTGCGCATCTTTTCTGTCCCGAGGCGACATTGCTCAGTTTGCAGAGGGTGCGGCCCACCGCGCAGGCCACTTGGGAGCTAGGCCTTACTTGCAGTTAGTTACGGAGTAAAGGACTTGAAGGTGTCGAAAGAAAGCGAAGGCACAAAGGATGCATTCCGACTGCTGCGCATCTTTTCTGTCCCGAGGCGACATTGCTCAGTTTGCAGAGGGTGCGGCCGACCACGCAGGCCACTTGGGAGCTAGGCATTACTTGCAGCAAGTTACGGAGTCTACGACTTGAAGGTGTCGAAAGAAAGCGAAGGCACAAAGGATGCATTCCGATTGCTGCACATCTTTTCTATCCCGAGGCGACATTGCTCAGTTTGCAGAGGGTGCCTTCGACGATGTTGGGCGCTTCGCAGGAGATGCCGCGCATGGTGTTGAAGAATTCGTGGAGGATTACTTTTATTGAGGACTCACCGCCGTATGAAGCGGAGGTCGTTGGCGATTATCCACGCCGGAAAGGAGCTGTATAGAGACTTCCTTGAGGGCGTTCCGCGCCTTTAGTAGGCGCGCTCTTGTGACTCTCGTGTACAGTCCGCCATGTCACCCCGTGATTGCAGCGGTGACTCTAGATGCGGTGTGTGGAGAAACACGGAGTGCCTCCTCCCAGACGCTCAGAATTCAGAAACCTCCTTGTCCATGTGCGATCGCGTGGCTGAGGCTCGTGTATGAGATGGCAAAGGCCCCGCTACACTTGGCAGAGTTGGGCCTGCTCTGTGCCAGGATTCGGATTGAGGATTATGGTTGATTAGGGGTTTATAGGGTTCAGGGTTCAGGGTGTAGGGGTTTGGGGGTTTAGAGTTTAGGGTGTAGGGATTTAGGGTTTAGGGTTTACAGGGTGTAGGGTGATGTAGGGTGTGGGGATTTAGGGTTGTCGGGATACGACGGCCCTCGTCTCTCGAGCCTGGGCTTGCAGCCTGGATTCCAAACTGTCAAGGCACGACCACAACCCCCCAAAAGTGGGTTTAGGGTTTAGGGTACTGAAGTAGTTAGAATCATGGCCCAAAACCTCCAAAAGGCCGTTATTCTACGTACTTTTGGAGTCCAGGTAATTCCCAACTGCACGAATGCAAGATACCTTGAGCCAACCAAAGCAGGAGAAACACCTCTCAAGAAGCGTGTCTAACGTGCTTGATGCTCACAAGTTGACAAGACACGCTAAGTTCGAACGGTTGTTATTTCGTTCTCGGGCTCCCCCTCCTCCCCCTCCATGCCCCCCTTCTCTTCCTCGCCCTCCTCCTCCTCCTCCTTCGCTCCGTCGTTTGCCCCCAAGCCCGAAGCACAGAGCCCGCGACGCTGACTCTCAAGTACTTTACATCCTCAAACATTCAATACTACTGCACATCACATCTCATGCCCAAGAGCTCTCCAGAGACTAGCAGTCCATCCTGGAAAGCTGACAGGACACCCAAGCTGAAGTGGTGTTTGGGATCAGAGCTTCGAGGGGTGCGGGGCTGTTGCATGGTTAAGGTTTAGGGCATCGGTCAAGCTGCATGGTAAGTTTACAGCGCAGGGGCAAGCATGTATGGGTCTTAGCTGCAATATAGGGCGGTTTCAAGCAATATTCCCTAACATTGTTGCTTTGGGTTCCGGTTGCAAACGTCGTGTAACATACCCCCGAACTACTTCAGCTCATCAGGGCTTCCAAGACCTTCTGTAGCTTCTGAAGCCATCGCCCAACACCCTAAACCCGTTTTACAGGGTTTAGGGTCCGAGTCCCCTCTGGTGCCCACCTCCCCATACAACTACACAGGATCAACTACGCCCGAGAACCCTGCTCTACGGTTGATGACATACATCCTGCATTACCCAACATAAGGAATAGACCATAATTCCCATAGTTTAGGGTCCTTAAGGTTATGCAGGATTTATATCATCAACCGTATGCCCCAGAACCCTGTTCTATCTGTTGAGGCTCCCCTACTGTAGTGGCACCCGGTAAGTTTTCTTTTGAACATCCGGGCCCCTGGACTAAGTCGTCGTTGCCTGGGAGGCCACCATCCACTATCGCTTTCAGATCGAGCCGCTTGTTACCATCTTGGTTTTGATGGTCCATGGTGTTCGATCGCTGGGGCTTCTGTAAGCTTCAGGGTTTCTGGGCTTACGTAAACCCTAAACCCTTAAACCCTTAAGCCCTAAACCCTTGAACCCTTGAGCCCTAAACCCTTATGTAAACCTTTAAACCCTTAAGCCCGAAACCCTAAACCCTTAAACCCTTAAGCCCTAAACCCTTAAACCCTTGAGCCCTAGACCCTTAAACCACCCTAAACCCCTGCAGTCCAGGGCATTGGGGCTTACCTAACTGTAAACCCTTAACCCTCAAGCGTTAAACCCTAAACCCTAAACCCTAAGCCCCAGGTACGCAGGTGGAAAAGGGCCCAAAAAAAACACTAAGCCCCCCTACAGTTCAGGGTTTTGGGGCTAAGGGTTTCAGGGTTGATGATTTTAAACAGGCGCTGAAGCTTGAGAGAGCCTAGGGCAAGTGGGGGTGAATGTAGGGCCTTAGGGAATTAGGGGCTTTGGTGTTTTGGGGATTACGGTTTAGGGGATTAGTGTTAAGGGGTTTAGGGGTTTGGGGTTTGGGGATTTAGGGCTTTAGGGGTTTAGTGGATTAGGGTTCAGGGGTTCAGGGTCTAGGGGTTTAGGGTTTAGGGGATTCGGAGTTGAGGGATTAGGGGTTTAATATTCAAACCTCTGTAGTGGTCGGGCATGTCGGAGTTCCACCCTAAGACAAAAAAGGGAGCATGAGGCTGCAGGACGGTCCTAGTCTCGTAGGTCGTAGGAGGGCTCGGTGTGCCGCTGTTTGGGGGATATAGGAAATATTCGGATATATCCGGCGCACAGGCTGGTCGGAACCCCGAAATTCCACGGTACTTGAGCCCCCACGCCCCAAACCCAAGACCCCCTTAACCCTAAACCCCAAACCCAAGACCCCCTAAACCCTAAACCCCAAACCCAAGACCCCCTAAACCCTAAACCCTAAACCCTAAACCCTAAACCCAAACCCAAGAACGCCGCGTGACGGATGAGCACACAAGCCCTGCACCCTCGGCCTTCTTGTCTTACTGCTTGAGCCACCGAACCCTGAACGGCTTGGGGTTTAGGGTTTAGGGGGTTTAGGGTTTAGGGTTTAGGGGGTTTAGGGTTTAGGGTTTAGGGTTTAGGGGGTTTAGGGTTTAGGGTATAGGGTGAAGGAACACCAGAAAGCAAGCTTGGGCAGCAGAGATGGGACATCGTTCTATTCACTTCCGGCGAGGAAGGGAGGGGTGAAAGGCCTCGTGGGATCCGTTTTCGCCCTAAACCCTAAAACCTTAAACACTAGAATCCTCAACAATGACCCTAAACCCCACTACGCCAAAATCCTAAACCCTAAAGCCCTAAACCCCAGAGCCCTAGACCCTAAAGTCCTAAGCCGTAACCTTAGAAGGCCGTTCGCACGGCTGGCCTTGGAGCCAGTGAGAGCCATGCAAAGACTAAGACCCACCCTCCTTGGAAGAAGGGTTTAGGGTGGATATCCATAGTTAAATCCATAAACCCTAAACCCATAAACCCATGAATCCACAAACCCCTAAGCCAATAAATCCATAAACCGTAAACACTAGACCCATAAGTCTATAAACCCTAAGCCCTCAACCCTAAATGAACCTCTAAACCCCTAAACCCTAAACCCTACACACTTAAACCCTTAAACCCTTAAACCCTGAACCCCATTCATCACAAACACATAAATCCATAAGCCCTAAACCCCTAAACCCTAAACCCATACTTCCATAAACCCTAAGCCCATGAAAACCTTATAGCCTGATACCCTGACTCCATAAACCCCGAAGCTCTAACCTAACCCTAAACCCACGAGGGTAGTTCTCTAAATCAGGGTCCCGTTTTAGGTCCCAAATATAGTACGGCACCCTTATAAAAAGGACCCCCCCCCCAAAAGGGATCCTAATTTAGAGAACAACCCCTCGAAGACTTGGCCTACGAAGCCCTAGGCAGCAGAACTTCCAGACGCGCGTCAGCGAGATCCTGGGGAAGAAGCAGCAGAAGCTTTGGGAGATCCAGGCAGCCTATGGGCAGGGTTTAGGGTTTAGGCTTTGGGCTTGATTTAAGGATAAGGCTTAGGGTTTAGGGGCTTAGGGTTTAGGGGTTTAGGGTTTTGGGGTTTAGGATTTGGGCTTGCGGGTAATGGATTTAAGGATAGGGCTTCGGGTTTGGAGGGGTTATAGGGTCTAGGGGTAGGGCTTCAAGGGGTGTACGGTTTAGGAGTTATGTGTTTAGGGGCTATGGCATGTACGGTTTAGCGCTTATAGGGCTTAGGGTCGGCGGTTTGGTAGGTTTAGGGTTTGGCGCCGAGGGAGTTTGAGTTCTGGGTCTTGGAGTTTAGGCTTTGGGTGTAGGGCTGTGAGATCCAGGGAGTTTAGCTCTACCTTGGCTCACTATAGTCACTAGAACCATCGCTTTTGAGGGCCGTAATGCCAACCTAAACATGAACTCTTAAGGGACTCTGCAAAAAAATAACTAGGCTTTGGTGGTCCGGGTAGGGTGTGGATGCGCAAGAGCGGTAGGGTTTTCCGTCGAGGGGTGGAGGATACATAAAGCATCATGGAACTGTATCTAGAGTTATGACACAATATGGCAGCAATAGTTATACCCACCTGTCATGTAGGAACCTGATTAAGAAGCCCTGGTCCTGCTTTTCATGATATAAATCCTGCATTACCTTAAGGACCCTAAACTATGGAAACTATGGTACATTCCTGATGATGGGCAATGCAATATCTACATCATCAGCCGCAGAACCCCAAACCCTAAACCCTAAACCCTAAACCCAAAACAGTAGCATCCATATATAAAGAGCCCTAGAGACGACCCAAGGTTCCTGGGTCAGGTTCTTGGGTCAGGTTCCCGGGCTTAGCTTAGGGTTTTATAGGGTTGAGGGGTTTAGGGTTTGGGTTTTTAGGGCTTTATACCGTTGAGGAGTTTAGGGTTTAGGGGTTTAGGGGTTTAGGGGTTTAGGGGTTTAGGTACTCATCAGCTCGGGCCTTCAGGACTTTGGGGGATCAGCTTTGCGGGGGCTTTGCAAGAACGGAATCGCCCCTAAGTCCCATGCCCTGAATATGCGGTTTAGGGTTTAGGGTTTAGGGCGGGCCCTATTCTTGAAACACTACCGAGCTCGAAAAGGTCGTGCAGGACTGCAGCCCCACCTGGTACTGATCCAAGTATCAAAAGAAACCCGGTCCCCAGACGCCAACCCGCAGACCCTTCAGCTGAACCTTCAACGGCCGAAAGCCATAGAAACTGTAAGTTGGACACTGCCCCCACTCAGTAGCAGTTCAGCAACATGCATAATATGGATACATATATATATATATGTATGTATGTACCCTTAGTAGTAGCCCTATTACAGACTGTACCCAACCTATAAGCCGTTGTCTTGAAGCCTCACACCCCAGACCCCTAGACACCTAAACAAGACCTTGAGCTAGGTAGGGTCCCTATAAATTCTATACTCGGGTTCATGATCAGAACCTACAAAAACGGTAGGTTGTGGTAGTTTAAGGTCCCCGAAATGCCTTGAGCCGCAAACCCGAATTGTCCCAGGCGCGCGTGGACAGCGGGAAGCGGGAAGTTCACTGTGCCAAGGCACTGCCCTGAACCCTAAACCGGCCCGTAAGTTGAGGGTTTAGGGTTTCGGCTTTAAGGGTTTAGGGTTTATGCTTTAATTCAGGGTTAGGGCTTGGGGTTTAAAGCTCAGAAAGGGTGTGCTGTGGGGCTCCAGATTTGCCTAAAGTTTAGGGCATAGGGACATGTAGGGTTTCAGGATGGAGGTTTTGAATTCAGGGTGTACAGTTTGGGATCAGAGGTTTGGGTCACTGCAAACGGCTCTAGAAGTGTGATGAAGGCAGGTGGGATGATGCCCAACTAAGAGCCCTCATATACGGGATCCTGTAACCAACCTCCCTTCCTACCTCCCTACCTACCTACCTACCTACCTGCCTACCTACCTACCTACCTACCTACCTACCTACCTACCTACCTACCCACCCACCCGACCGACCGACCGACCGACCGACCTACCTACCCACTACCTACCGACCTACCTACCGACCTATACCTGCCCCTACCCACCTTCATCCCATCTTTTGAGGTGTTCCGGGTTCAGGGCTTAGTGCACTACTGTCGTGTTTTTGTTCTGGGTCCTGCTTCCCCTAGAGGAGGAGCTATTCTTACGCGTCCAGGTTTTTTCTCATTCATAAGTTCAGCATACACAACCGAAGGCGGAGCTTCCTAGGCGTGCAAGGGCTATGGAACATGGTAGCTGTCTTGCCACCAGCCCGCAACTCGAAGCTGAAAAAAAAAACCTGAACCCTAAACCCTTAAACCCCTAAACCCTCAAAGAAAAAACCCTAACCCCTAAACCCCCAAACCCTTAAACCCCTAAACCCGAAACCCCTTTTAAGACCAGGGTAGTTGGGGTTTCTGAAGTTCAAGCCAGCAGGTTTGGGCCAAGACTTTCGTCGACACCTTGGATCAACACTTCCGAAATGCCGTTGGGCGCATGGCCCAAGAGGCTCGGTGGGGTTTCGGGTTTAGGGTTTCGGGTTTAGGGTTTATAGGGTTTAGGGGTTTAGGGGTTTAGGGTTTAGGGTTTGGGTTTCAAGAAAATGAGTTCACCCAGGAAGAGGAAGCTGAGTCGAAGGTTACACTAAACCCAAACCTTAATCCCTAAGCCGTATGCTCTTAAGCCTTGTGCCCGTCCCTACACCTAGAACCTAAACCTGACCCTGCAGCTCAAACCCTAGAAACCCTAGACCCTAGAATGGGGTTGCAGGTTAAGGGTTCGGTTTAGGGTTTAGGGCTCAGGGTTTAGGGCTTCAGCCAGCAAGCCCGGCACTTCCCTTGGAACTCAAAGAGACTGCCGGGATTTCCTTGGTATAGGGGCCTAAATCATTACCACTATTATTCCTTAGTGCTCCTTATCCTTATATTATTATTAAGGTATTATTATTATGATTCGTATTACTATGATGATGATTTATTAATGTTATAAGTATACTATAAGGTGCCCCAAAACCCTATTCAGAGACTGCCTTGCGGAGGCTCACTCGTAGAGTTGAGGATTCCAAGGGTGTTCAGGACTTTCAGGGTTGATTGTTATTGAATGTGTTAGGGCTGAGGTTTAAAGCTTCAGCTATTTTTGGTTGTTAGGTCGGAGGTTTTAGTGCTTGGAGCTTTAAGCTTTGGGAGTTTGGGGTTTAGGGTCTAGGTTGGCTCAAAAATTTAAGCTTTGGGAGTTTGGATTTTATAGGGTCTAGGTTGGCTCAAAGATCTTGTGGCTCATGAAGCAAAGGCTTCAGAGAGAAAGGATTGGGTCTAAAGCGGGGCTCGGAGTTGTCTGTTCTGGTAATTCCGGATTCAGGGCTTGCACGCTTGTGTCTTTTTGGGGTGTCCGGGCGTCAAAGCGATGGGACCTCCATTTCTCTCCTGACACGGGAGAATGCTGCAGCTCCTTCACAGCGTGGGCTCTGCATGTAAGTTCCAAAGACGGCAGCTTCAAATTCTTAATTCTTACCCAACCATGTGCTCAGTCGAAAACCCAAACAGCGCTGGAAAGCTTTAGAAGCTCCCTGAATGGTACCACAACCATGCGAAGATCGATCCCCGAACTCAACTTGGCCGCAGGTGGTGTCCCACATGTCCAAGATCCTAACCAATCCCGGGAGCGCCTGCGAGCAGGCCCTTTCAAGATTTCAAGGTTTGAGGAATTTCGCAACAACATGTCTAGGAGGTAGAGCAGCTTCGGTTTAGGGTCTAGAGTTTAGGATTGTACTTTATACTGCACCCTAAACGTATCCTAGTCATCAGATAAGGCCCCCGTAGAACCTTTGACACCGAAGCTGTTGCAAACACTGCACAGTCGAAGCAGCCCTCGAGAGTCGGTGTGATGAGGCGATCGAGCGATCCTTCACCAAGCGAAACTGGCGGCATGTGGTGATGTACGCTATCGATCCGACCCAGCTGCTGTGTTAAATTCAGATGTCATCACATTTAATACAATGGCCCCTTATGGTCCTGATATAAAGATACACAAGAGCCAAATCCTGTTCCAATGGTTGAGGCCCCCTAAGATGCGTTTGGTGCTTCGGATGAGGCTCAGAAGTGTCCAGGCATTCGGGGTCGGGGCTTGAGGCCAACGGCTAGGAATTTGAGGCTTTACCAGGCCTGAGAGGCGTTTCACGCAGTTAGCGAGTTGAGCTAAGATCAATGGAAACTGGCGATTCTGAAACGGACCCTTCTGCGGGCTTGTTGCTCATGTAGGGGCCTAAATAATTACTAATGCGACTTTGGGGGCTTCCTTACTCTAATTCCAGTTTAATGGGGCCCCACACCCTATTCGAACTATGAAGGCCCTTATGTTACAGTGCCCAAGCGTCTTAAGGATCCATCTGAAAAGGTGTAGGACCAGAAAGGGCCGATCCTTCGGAAGACCCTCCCGCCCAGACTCGCTCAGGTACTTGTTCATGGAGTTCCATAAGGCTCCTCCGGCTTTCTGTTTAGGGTTGACGGCTTAGGGCTTAGGGCTTAGGGTTGAGGGCTTAGGGTTTACGGTTGAGGGTTTAGGGTTGAGGGTTTAGGGTTGAGGGTGGAGGGTTTGAAGGTTTAGGGTTGAGGGCCGGGATCTGATGGCAAAGAACTGCAGGGCGAATTGCGAGAAACGTTGGTTTATGCCGCCAACCCCAAACATCATCAACTCATGTCCCTAAACCCTGCAGCCTAAAAACCTTTCCGTCATTCTGGAGCAGACTCGCAGAGCCCATGGCGGCTCCTTCATGAAAGCAGCCCTTTTATTCCACGCTCCTGACCTGAAATCCGAGATTCCCGGCTTTGGGGTTCGGGGCTCCGGGTTCCTGTACATCATGTCCTAACCCCTGCCCCAAACCCAAAGCCCTTATGAACTCTAAGCCCCAAGCTCCACCTTGAGGGTTTAGAGATTCCAGGGGTAAGGTCCAAGCTGAACATCCGGAAGTAGCCCCCATCACGGCCGATGCCTCCGGCCCTAACCCGAACATCCGCACATCCAGAAACAGGCCGAAGCCCCGTAGCGCCCTAGCGAGAAATCCCAAGCACTAACCTTGCCTGAAACCAAAAACCCTAGAACCCTAAACCCTAATTTTTGGACCCGTCAAAAAGCCCTAATTCGGGGTTTAGGGATTAGGGATTAGGGTTTAGGGTTTAGGACCCTGAACCTTAAAGCCCAAATTCTCCAACGCGAAAGCCTGTCGCCACAGAGGAGTGGGAGACATTCAAACAGGGCCTCGTCGACAGGTACTGTCAGGCCCTGCCTTTCTGGGTTTAAAGTTTCGGGTTTAGGGTTTAGTGCTTAGGGTTTAGGGCCGCATTGACTGAAAGTAACAGACACAATGCGGGTCCTTTATTGTGGGAATCCGAAGCCCAACAGCCCGTTTTCGCTTCCGACCACAGGGGAGCCTTTCCCGCAGGTTCAGCCCCCGAGCTCCCCCACCTACTATAGGGGACTTAACAATTACCTATACTATTTTGGGGGCTTCCTTATTCTACGTCTAGTATGATGGGCTCCTAAACCCTATTTAAATTAATAACGCCCGTTATACAGTCCTCCCAGGTAGCCTCTCTTATACTCTACATACCCACTATCAAAGACCGTCGGGCCTCCATTAAGGTTTGGCCTTGGGCGGTCCTAGTGAGCCCACCCGGACAGGGCGTTCAGCGGGTTGTCGGACAGCAGCCGCTGGATCCAAAACCCCCGGAGCTTAGCGAACCCGACGACCCAAAATCGTTGAAGATGGACAAACCGCTTCCCTGAAATGGCCTGTGTTAGGATCCCTAGTTTAATCCATGCCAAGGGCCCAACCCAAGTCGTACAACAAAAACAATCTTCAACCCTCAACGCCCAATCCCACAACCCCTCAATCCCCTAAACCCGACGGCCTTATAGATCCACTAACAAATTCCAGAGGCCCATAGGGCACCCTTAATAGAACCATTCTAGCACCCCCATCGGTCCCCCAAAAGCAACGACAGGAGCTGAAGAACAACTTCGGCAACTGCCTCCGAGTCGCCGAAGAGCGCATGCAAGACCTCCTTGCAGGCTTGTCGAGTTTAGGGTTTGGGTTTCGGGGAGGGTCGTGGGTTAAGGGTTGGTTAGAGCTCATGGGGTCCAGGGTGCGTGGTTTCGGGTTGCATAGTTGTCTCTTACATCGATTGAGGGTTTTAGGTTTTGAGGGTAGGTCAATCCGCCTTTCAACAGCAGCTCTTTGAGAATTCTTTTGCAGATGCACGCATCAGCTGTTTCCAAAGTTGACGCCTTGTGAAACCCCGAACCCCTGAATCCAACCTCCCAAGAACCCTACCATAAATCCCCACATGCTACACCCTAAAATCTAAGCCCCCCCCCCCCCCCGTTCTCCACAAGCAACGGTGCAACGGGAAGGCGGGAATCTCGATGGCGTGAAGGACCTCACCATGAACAAGCTTTCGCAGGTTCTGAAGGAGGCCGCTGCTCTGCATGGCGGTTCCCCCCAAAACTTGGCTCTCTTGTGGCTAGCTGTTAGGCCCATCGTTTACATTACTGCACTATTATGCTGCATTCTGCTATTATATAGTAAACATGTTACTTCTAGTGTTATATTGTCAAGCACTCTGTTCTTGTTTATGTTCTGCATACTGAAGGATTTTTTCAAGGAGAAGCTGAGAAACCGGAACCCGACCCTTCGCCCCGAAACCCTGAAACCCCAAACGCNNAGGGTTTAGGGCTCAGGGCTTGTAGGTATACCATACATACTTTACTAGGATTTAGTGACGATGGGGGGTCCTGGTTCAGGTGTGTGCAGAGCTGGCGGACGACTCACTGTCCGCAGTGCTATGTGGCTGCCTGCCGTCCTTTCAGGCCGGCCGGATAAGGGTTTAGGGGTTAGGCTGCAAGGTTTAGGGGTTAACTGAGATTGAAGGTGTAAGTTGATCCTTCCAGGCACGATCGTAGGGTCTAGGGGCATCTCGTCGAGCTTTGTTTACTTTGGAAGCTGGACAAGTGCTCACCTAAACATCCTAAACATCCTAAACC